TATCTAGTTGAAGACATTATATTTAAAAATTAAAAAAATTTCCCTCGTTCCCAATAAATGGGGAAAACCTCCAAAAAAATTACAAATTTAAAAATCGCTTATTTTTGAAATTTTTTCAATTTTTTTTTCTTAAAACTGCAATAACTATTTTAAAAATGGCCAAATCAATATAAATTTTTTTTATAGATGCTTCATGTCTTTACCTATAATAATATCGGAGAAAATGTTCCGGAAATACTGCGTTCTTTAAACATTTGTTAAATTAAAGCTTACGTTACGAACTATAAGTTAAAAAAAATATTGGTCCGACGATCTAACTTCTATTTTCAAATGACTTTTATAATTGGAAAAACATGCTACTTTTGTGTTAAAACTTTTTTTTAATTCAGAAAAAATCTAATCGAAGATTTTACATCCTTGTACCTCAGAGTGAAAGACAAGTGTTACTGACACGGTATCCTTAAAACTTATACTTTTGTAGCAGAAAATGACAATTTATAATAGTTTAATAATTAAAGTTGTATTTCTTAACAAACATATTGAGACAATATATTCAAAATAAGTATAATAAAATTATACTTTATGTAAGTTAGATTCATGTAATTTTTATGAAAATCGGTGACTTCATTATTATGGAAAATCTTTGCTAGGTCATTTAATATAAAAAAAACTCCTAGTTGTTTATTTAAATATTGTACATACAAATTAAAGAACTACTAATTCGGAATAATGAAGAAAATAGGAAATGATATTTTTTTTTTTTGGAATAATCCATCTGTCTACAGGTTTGCATCGAAACGTTTCTTATGATAGTAAAATCACTATAATAAGAAATGGTGATTTTAATTATTGTAAGATACTATCTATACTTGTATTAACTATTCCAAGTACACACTGTACTGCGACCCCATTGTATTAAATTTAAAAATATTATTTTTAGTTGTGTTATTATTTCTTTATGCAATTATTTCCGTTTGTTTTCGGTGGAAGTATTATTATAGATTTATTCTATAAATAAATATGTTGACTTACATCTAATTATTCTAATGAGAAAATATTCTGTTGTAATGAAACATGTAGTTGATTAGCACTATTAGTACTATTAGCGATATGCAATTGTAAATATTATCTAGTTAATTATTTTTTTAATAAACTTTTTAACTTGAATAAATTAATTTTCAATTGAAATAACTTTGTTTTTTTCAGTTAATTAGTTAAAATAACAGTTAAGCTAAATTAAAAATTTCATAAAATAATGTCTTTATACGCTGTGTGCGTGATTTTATTTCAAAGAAAATGGAAATTTTCTCCCAGATATTATACTTAAAAAACTCTAAGTATAATTTTCAAATGTATGATTTTTAACTGATTTTAGCTTTGATGCGAAGTTTAGAAGGTATTAATTTTACTATGATGTGTTTTTTTTTTATTTATTTATTTATTTTTTTTTTTTTGTGTCTGTTACCATTTTTTCTCAGATCTCACCAAACTATTTTTTTTCAATGATACGTTAAATGATCACAAATTGTATCTAATCAAAGTCACTATCGTCAAAAATTGAAAAAATATCCCTTGTTCTGTGTAAATGGGGGAAATCTCCAAAAAAATTAAAAATTTAAAATTCGCTAATTTTTGACATTTTTAAATTTTTTTACTTAAAACTGCCATAACTTTTTAAAAAAAAATCAAATCAATATAATTTTTTTTTATAGATGCACGATGTCTTTACATTTTATTTGGTGTGTTTTTTTATAAATCTGACTCTTTAACTGCCTACTGGAGGATTCAAAATGGCAACTTTTTCACAAAAAATTTACTTTTTCAACATAACTTTTGAAAGTATTCCAGAAAGTTTGACACATTTATTTATATCTTAAATTGAATTTAATGTAATATACTTTATCATGAAAAAAAAATTTTGGACTTTATTTTGTCTTCACAGATAAAATAGTTACCAAATGCTATTTTTGAGTGAAAATTCTGGATATTATTTTTTAAATTTTTATTTTATTTTGCAAAAACCTTTTGAAATATGTATGGATCAATCAAGTTTTTCATGAGAAATAATTATTTTAATAATCCCTTTTTTATTTAACATACTTTATTTTAATCAGGATACAAATAAGGAAATAGCAAATCACGTAGCTTTTGTAATAATCCACTATTTTTTTAAAATTTAACACTACTAAAGATTTGCATCAAACAATTTTTTACAATAGTGCTTTTCATGACTGTCAGATATGATTATACTTGACCCAACTATGCCACATCACCACTGTGCAACGATCACTCTGTGTTGGATTTTTTTTAATAACTAGTTTTAAAGATAAAACAGTGTAACTAACAGAAAAATGTAAAAAACGAATAAAAAAGTATATGTTTTCATTAATATTTTTTTCCTATGTTTAAAAGGTAAGTTTTATGATTGTGTAGGAACAAAGAGAGGCGAATAAGAAGTCTTTAGACTTGCAAAAGTTAGAGAAAAAACCTTATATTGGGATGTTTTCTGTACTTAAAAGTTCCATAACTTTTTCAAAAATCAACATAATTTTTTTATATTAAAACCTTAGATTTTTACATTTTATTTGATATTATTTTTTTTGAAAATCTAACACTTATTCTGCTCACAAGGGGGATTTAAAATAGCAAATTTTTTACAAAAACTAACTTTTTCAACTTAACTTTTGAAAATGTTCTGGAAATACTGTGTCCTTTAAACATATATCAAATTAAAGTTTATGTCATGTACTATAAAATTAAAAAAAAAAATTTGTCCCGACACCTTATCTTTTATGCACAAATGACTACCGTCTTCAAAAATATGCTTTTTTTATGTTAAAATCCTGGGTTTTGTATTTTATTTTATTTTAATTAAATATCTTTTAAGGGCAATAAACTGACTTTTATGAATATTATATAATTTAATTGGCATAAATGGTTGATTAAAATACATAAGATATAAGAAATTAAACTTATTTAATTTTTTTTACATTTTTAAAGTCGAAAAAGTAATTTTTAAATTTAAATTACCTTAAATTGCTAATTTTATTTCGCACCGAAAGCGACGAACAGTTGCCGAGTCGGTAACACTTGTGTCTTACATGCTTAGGGTACTAGGTTCAAATCCGTCTGTGGCCAATAATATTTTGCCTTTTTTTCGAGTTAGAATAAAGATTTCAAACCATTTGATATTTATCTCATTTAGATTCAATAATTTCAATAAATATAAAGAGTCTTATTCTTGTTAATATTATTTTACTATGTGGTTCTCTTTTGGCTACGATTTATTTTGCCAACCCTCACTAGACCTACTTTTTTCAACTATACGTCAAATGATGAGGTATTCGTATTTAGTTTAAGTTATTACTCATAAAAATCGAAAAAATACTCTTTATTCAAATAAAAAGTAGCTTAACCAGCTTTTTCCATACAAACAATTAAAATCATTAATTTCTAATATTATAATAAAGTATTCATTGTCGAATTAGATTTGATATGATAATAGTATTCAACTACAAAAGTAAATAATTTACTTAGTAATTTATTAATTTTTCAACTCTATTTGTGTGTGCTACTACCAGTCTATAATATTCCAATTTATTTTGCAACATGTTACTATATAAATCATAAATTAAAAAAAAAAATGATTTTTAGTTTCACCTGAATTTAACGATGGATTTTTACAATTATAATCGAATTTTATCATACGCTCAATTGAGTAAATCTTTTTAACAACTTTTTTTTTATTGGTTTTTTTAGATATATAATCATTAAAAACTATCAGATATCATCTATATATGTTCAATGATATCTGAACATTGTTCATACTATGCACGTCCGCATTGTAATACCGTTTTTTAACTTCAAAAAAATTTAAATTTAAAATTATTTTTTTAATTGGTTTTTTTTTTGTATTATCATTTATTTTCTCAGCTCTCACTTGTCCAATTTTTTTTTTAAATACGTCAAATTATCAAAATTATTATCTAATTAAAGATATTATCCTAAAAAATTGAAAAAAAAAATATCTTTTAATAAATAAAAACTAAACCCAACCAGCCTTTTCNTATCTTTTAATAAATAAAAAGTAAACCCAACCAGCCTTTTCCATACATACAATTAAAATCATTCATTTTTAATGTTTTTTAAGTATTTATTGTCAAATTAGGTTTGATATAATAATATGTTTCTAATACAATATTAAATAATTTTACTTTGTAATTTATTAATTTAACTCAATTAGTGTGTGCTACTACCTTATTATAACACTCTAAATTTTTTGATAACATTTTGCTATACAAATCGTTAAAAAAAAAATGATTTCTAGTTTTACCTGAATTTAAAAATAAATTTTTACAATTATAATGAAATTTTATTATACGCTCAGTTGACTAGATTTTTTATCAACTTTTTGATTGTTTTTTTTAGGTAAAGTAAATTGTTAAAATTCTGAATATTTCCATTGTAGAATCTTTTTAAACGCCAAAAGTTAATTAGAAATGATAACTATTACTTCTATTTAAGTGATCTATTGCGATAAAAATGTAAAAAATCTAACTTTTCTGTTAAATGTACTGTAAATAGTAAATATAAAATTCCCTGATTGCATATTAATCTTAACAATTTCATTTTTTTCTATTTAATAATGTCAATTTCAAACTTGCAGTTGAGTTAAAAGTTATGGTAGTAAATTCATTTTTTTTTATTATAAACTTTCAATTTATAGGATAAAAAAAAGTTGGTTAAAAATTATTACTTTTAACATATTAAAAATCATTAATAATTTGAAAACAATTTTAAAAATTATATAATATATAATTAAAAGAATTACTAATCTGGGTATAATTAAGGAAATAGAAGTTGATGTTGCTTTTTTAATTGTCCATCAATTTTTTAAAATTAAACACTATCTACAGATTTGCATGGAAGCGTTTCTTATGAAAGTGATTTTAATTACTGTCAGATTAAATCTATACTAGATCCAACTATGCAACGTCTCCACTATGCCGCGACTCAACTGTGCTGGGTTTTTTTTTATCTTTTATTTCTTTTCGCTTATTGTAGAAATCAACCATTCTCGTATGTGTATTGTCTATAGCAAAATTATTATAAACATTTTATTTTTATTTTACTTTACATTATTTTAAACGAGTCAAAATATATCACTTACTAGTCAATTTATTATTTTCCAGACCATCTCCACCTATATCATTCGGCATAATCGGTATTGTTGTCTCATTAAGAAAACTACTTTCATCGGTAAAGATTTGTAACTAAAAAAAAAATACTTAAATCAATTATCAATTAAAAATGCTTTGTTTTTAAATTTTTTGGCTTTATTAAATGGTGGATCAATAGAATGATTATTTAACGAAACTTATTAAAATATTTAAAATTTTTTTTGAAGTTTCGTAAAATCCCTTATTAAGTATTTTTTGACTATCCCTATATCTTATAAACTCAAACAAAAAAATGTTTTGGCTACTTAGCACTCAGAAAAATTCCAATCATACCCTCAAATATGTTAGAAAATATTTTTATGATAATATTTTCACTATCGTATTTTACACAAGGGTTGCGAAGGCTTCATGCCTTATAATTAAATTAAATTTTATAGGGAAAGGGGAGATAAATGAATGTGCTGAAAATGTTTCCTTTCTGTTTTCTTAGCCCTTACAGAAAAATTTTACAAGATATATTCGTGTATATTTTTATATAATATTAACAGTATTGAAANACACCGTATATTTAAAAGAAAAGTCCAAATGGGTATGTTGTGATAGAGGTTGTTATTTAAGAACTTAGACGACACAAGGTTTCTAAAATGGCGTGAGCCGTAGTTTATTGTTTAGGTTATAACACAAGAAGAAAACCAAAAGACTACTAATTATTGAAAATGATAACTAGGTGGTAAGGTTCACAGTAGTAAGCTGATTTGAAAGTAAACACTAAAAAATATGAGTATTCGTAGCGAAAGTATTGAGAGCACCCAAACAAACGAGGACCGAGAGAAAAGAATCGCACATCAAGGTGTCACGGAGATAACTGACTGGNGAATCGCACATAAAGGCGTCACGGAGATAACTGACTGGACGTATTATTGCGGCGGGGTATGCGACGCTAGGCATTTGTTGGACTTTACACCACGGCGATAACGCGTGTGTGTGACGGTCCGGTTTACAGTTAAGCGGTGGCTGAGAAGGAGCTGACACGACCGCGGGGTGTCAACGTGTGACAACGCCGTGGCCGTGTCAAACTTTATTTTGGCTTTGTATCAGGAGTGTTGAACATTATGCAAAACATTATAGTTATGACGTTTTAAATAAAAGTTTAAGTCAACACATAATCAAATAAAATAATATATGTGTCACTAAATACATAAGGGTCAATCCATGACAAATCATCCAGAAGTGGTTGCACGACCACCTCATATTTTTCTTAAATTTTCAGGGTTTATTATTTATGCTAAAATTAGATTAAAACAATTTTTTTTTTTTTTTTTTT